GATTTCTCAACAGAAACCATGCAGGCAAGAAGACAATGGGGAGACATTATAAAACCCTGAAAGAAAATAACTGCCGACCAAGAATCTTCTACTCAGCAAAGCTGTCAATCAAATAAGATGGTGTAATCAAAACATTCCAGGATAAAAAGGAGCTAAGGGTTTTGCCAAACCAACCATGTGATGAAAAACATCCTAAAGGGAATTCTGTGGACAGAGAACCAACAAGAACAGATAACAACCAGAGACTAACATACGTGGCAGCATCACCTTGGAAGTCAATAGACAAATGGAAGAGAATAAAATTATAAGAAAAAAATCAGAGGATCTGGGAGGTGAGTCTATGATCAAAACTAACACAATGTGAAAGAAGGTAAACACAGAGGAACAGAGATCTAGGTGGTGGGAAGGTCAGATAGATTACAGGATAAAATAGACTATCTTAAATGGGGTAAAAGTTAATGGAATATAAGGTAACTACAATGGTGGGGTTAGGGTGAGGAGTTTCGGGGGAGATGGAAGGAAGGGACGGTAGAGCACAGGGTAAAGGCAGATACATCATAGTTTGAGCGTTGGGGAGGGCAATACAAGAAGAGTGAGACGGTAGAAGAACAAGAAAGATAGGGGAACACTGAAGCAGGTTTGCATGGGCTAAGTGGGACAGAGGTAAATAGTGAAGCATGCTTAAACTTGGAACAACAGGGCTCTGTGATACAGGGATCTAGGCATAGTTTGAAGAGGGGAAATAATACTAAGATGTTTGACTGTCTTATGAATATTGGTTTTCCTTGCCTACTATTGTAAAATATACACTTGAATGGGATAGAAAGGAAAAGTCAGGAAACATGATTAGAGAAACTTGTAAGCTCATCTTTAGCCTATAACTGATTGGAATACCTAAAAGGGGTTCTAGAACTTGCCCAGTGAAACAGGCCTCTTGCAAAGCCTTTGCAGAGCATAGGACATTATGAGGAAATCCTGAGTACCATCCAGAACCTTCTGAGGTGAGACACTCCCTCTAGAAAGGACAAGCAGACCAGCCTGGAATAGCCAGAGTGACAGAAGATTAATCTTCAAAGAAAGATCATCAGGAAAAACCCAAAACTAAAATGGCAGTGTGACTGGCTACTACAAGAATAAGCAAGCTGTTCATCTGGAAGCCATCAAGACAAACAATCAAGTTCCGTCAGGACAAACCCCCCTCTAAGACTGAAACCCAAAAGGAACACATGAGCAGGCACATAAGCTTGCTGATGACCACATTGATCTACTGGTGAGTGGAAAAGGGGGAAAGGCAGCAATGAAGAAGTGGGCTGAGTTCAACCACAGTCCATTGACTCCCGCTGACCTGGAGATGAGAGAGAGAAGAGGAAGGGCTGCTGATCCAATGTGTGGTAAGACCTGGGGACACCTGAGTCCATGGACAAGGACATAGCCACAGAGGGCCAGAGCTGAGAGTGAAGCATCCAGCAGATAAGAAGTGAGGGAAGAGACACAGAACACCCAAATGTGCATATAGTAGACATTTGACCTAGCCTCAATGGCTTGATAATCAGAACTCGTCTAAAGGAAGATTTTTTTTTTTTAATTTTTATAAAGGAAACAAGGGTAAATTGCTACAATTTGATGAACCTGACCTATACTCATAGGTAACTCTAAATACCAACAGAGAGGGAAGGAGTCTTCACATCAAGTATCAATGCTATCCCCTCTGTACATAGGGTAAAGAGGAACGGGCAACTTAGACATTGGCTACCTAAAATGAGGGTCCAATAAAACACAAAGTGATTGGCTTACAAGGTTTCAAGAGGAAGTAAAATTTAAGAGTATGGGGGGAAGAAAGAGTCCACATTGAATAGTTGTCATCTTGTCTAGATGGGTCTGGTTAAAAGAGGTGGGGATAAGATTCTTATGATTCAGTAGTGAGTAATTGTTATCATGACTAATTGTGACTGTCATAATTGTAAAGGTAGAAGTTTTGCAACAAAAAATTGGTGAGCAGTTAATCTTACAGTCCAGAAACAAAGAATCCTAGGACCATCAAGGAAGAAGAGCACAAGCGGAATGTGGGACCCTATCCAGAGAAGTAATGACACCAGAAATGGAGGCAAAGATGGGGACATGGAGAGGGGGAGCAGCTGAGGACTCTAGATTCATGGGTAGAGAGGCACTAAGAGATGGTGGCAGTGAAGCCAACTTGCAGAATGTGCCCTTTGGAGGTGTAAATTATTATATATGCCTGAATGCTTTTTGTTTTTCTTTTAAAAGAGCTAAAGGGAATAAAGAGAAATACTGTTAACTGATGGTACATGGAGGAGAATGTAATCATTGTGATGGAACAAGTTCTATGATTTGTTGAATGTAAAACTGACGATCTGCCCTGTAAACTTTCATTCAATTCACAATAAAAACTTTTTTAAAAGAGAAAAAAGTGTTAGTCCAAAAAGCAAAAAGAAAAAGAAGAGCTGACACGACAGCACTCAACAACAACTTTGTGCTAAGCACCAGGTTTTTTGGGAATTTTAGAATGCACTGAAAATTAGAACTTATTCCGGCTTCAATGAAGCGCTTTGTCAACTAGAAGAGACAGACAGCTAACAGTGCATGGTTTACATGCATAACCTCATAGAACCCACCTAGATGACTTTTCATGTAGATTATCTTGGTTGATCCTAATTTTACAGACAAGGAAAGCAAGACATTGAAAGATTAAGTGACCTTCACAAGTCAGTAGGTGGCAGAGCTAAACTCAGTGCATATCTGTGACTCCCATAGGGTTTCTGAGGTTGGACTCCTGATGTGTCACTGTGGATCAGCATTGGACTGCAAACCTCAAGGTCGGCAGTTCAAGCGCACCAGCTGCTCCTTGGAAACCCTGTACAGGGTCGCTGTAAGAACGGACTCAATAGCACTCAACAACTTCGTGCTAAGGATTAGGTTTTTTTGGAAGTTTAGAATGCGCAGAAAATGAGAACTTATTCCTGCTTCCATGAAGCGCTATGAGTCAGAATTTTTAGCCAGAATGCTAAGGAAAACAACCATCTTTAGGGAAATTGACTACCACTTCTTTTCCTGAGGAGCATTCTGTGGGTTCAAACCACTGACCTGAATGCTTAACTAATGTGCTTCCATAGCCAATGCTCTTAACCATCTTCTGCTTGCTTTATATCATGCTGCTTGTGCTATAAGGGTCAATGAAGAAGGGTCATGGGCTGAGATTTTGTAAGAAAAAGAGGAGTACCCAAGAATTGGAGAACCAGGAAGACTTCAGAAAGACAGTTCGTTGGGTCACATGGGAGAAAAGAGAATTCACAAAGTCACCTGAGGAATTGTCATGTTGTTGTTGTTGTTCTTGTTGAGTGTTGTGGAGTCAGTTCCAACTCATAGCGACACTGGGTTTCCAAGGTGCAGCTGGTGGGTTTGAGCCACCAACCTTGTGGTTAGCACTCTAGTGCTTATCCTACAGCACTACACCAGGACTCCGAGGAATTTCCTTAGCATTGCGAAAAGCCAGAGAAGATGGTGTCTTGGACATGTTTGGCTCGAAAGAGGGAGTTTCATGAAGTGGGTAATGAGTGTATTGGGTTCACTAATGATCACTACACTACTTTTGTGTGTGGTTGGAAATGTTTAAAATAAAAAGTTTTTAAAAGTACATTTAAAATAATAAATAAAAAACAAAACAAATACTTCCCATTCATTGAACCTTTTACATCCTTTCTTCACTGGACCACAATTCAACATTCAGTGCAGTAAAGAGTTATTGAGTGCCAAGCTCTTTTGTAGATGTCTGGGGATAGAGCTTATAGAAGACTAGGTCACATAGCACGGATAAGGAAGGATATGAGGATAACTGTCTTGTTATCCCATCACTGCCTCAGCACATATAAGATCTGACAGCCACAGTGGAGTCAGATATATATAGTCTATGGCCCAGGAACAAGCCAAAAGATATGGTCCTAGGTGGCTAGTCCAGCAGGGATTCCTGCACCCTGAGCAACTGAGCCATAACTGTTGGGTGGGAAAGCAAACCTATTTGACATCAGGCTGACTAAGCGCAAACCATTTACCCCAGCCAGGGACCTCAGTGGGAGGGCAGGAGGGTGGATTCTCAGCATCTAAGGCTTCTTCAGCCTAGTATCAGCCCTTTGCCTTCTTCAACCTAGTACCAGCCCTTTACTCGCTAACCTACCTCAGATACTGTTACAGCTCGTCTCTTCCCCTATACCTAGATATGTATCAGGAAGTAGTGGGACCTATTCACTGATTGAAGGTAGACTTTACATTTTTGCAGACCACATCACATTGAACAGCCAGCTCCAGACTCCACTTTCCTAGAGAAACCCAGAGTATCTGAGGTGTCTGGGACAAGCTCTCCCAACACTGCCGTGCTGGCCATTGTTAGCTCTTCCATGTTGTTGTATAGATAGACAAGCATTTTATCTGATGGAGGATTTTACATGAAATTCTGGTTTGCTGGCTTCTCTTGAAAAATCTGAGAATCTAACAATAAAAAATGTGTAATTCTCACATGCCAAGCATTGGCTGTACAGAGCCTCTTCCTTAGGCAATGCAACCACTCTAGATAGTTACTTGAAAAGATCACTTTGAAGGATTCCTGTACCCTTACAGAAAAGATCTCCTTTCTCAGGGAAAACTTCTCCTCTCCTTTAAAATAAAATGTGGAGTCAAAATAACTCTAACCAAGGAGAACAAACAAGATGGTAGATCGGGTGGAAGTGCAGGAAAGGAG